ATTTGTGTCAGTCAAAAGGAATGTTTGTTTGTTTATTTAATTGTTTGTTTTGTTTTGTTTTGTTGCATAACATAAGGAGTCCGAGTGGTACGGAATTGCCCAAAGACATTCTAAATAATCTTACATTGTTCCAAAGGAAGCAGAAAAAAGGAAATATTGACGTTTGGTGGTTATACGACGACGGAGGATTAACATTACTTTTGCCCTACATAATAAGCACGAGGAGTAATTGGTCAAATTGTAAGCTCAGAGTTTTCGCATTGGCCAATAAAAAGGATGAATTAGAATTTGAACAGAGAAGGTTTCTTTTCTTTTCTATTTATTTATTTATTTTTTGGCATTACTGTTTTCATTGCCTACAACAACACCATCACCACCACCAGTACCATCACCTTCAGTACCACCACCACCACCAGTACCATCACCTTCAGTACCACCACCACCACCACTACCACGACCATCACCACTTTTACGACTATCATCACTACCACTACCATTGTCACCACTGCCACCACCATCACTATTACCTTCAATACCACCACCACAACCACCACCATCAATCACCATTACCTTCAGTACCATCACCATCAGTACCATCACTACCACCATCACTTTTACCTTCAGTACGATCATCATCAGTACCATCACCATTACCTTCAATACCACCACTATCACTACCATCATCCCTTTTACGACTATCATCAGTACCACTACCATTTTCACTACCACCACCATCAATCACCATTACCTTCAGTACCACCACCACCACCATCACTTCTATGATTATCATCACTACCACTACCATTGTCTCCACCACCAGTACTATCATCATCACCATCATCATCATCACCATCATCGCCATCACCATCAGTACCATCACCACCGTCGCTACCTAACCCAATTCTTTTATCATCATTATTAAGGTTTTATTTCTCACTCTCACTCTTTCTCTCTCTTTTTTGTTACAGCATGGCGAGTCTTCTTGCAAAATTTCGAATCGATTATTCTGATTTAACAGTTATTCCGGATGTAACGAAAAAACCTCAGGAAAAAACGGTAGCATTTTTCGAGCACTCATCAAGACAGGAGAATCACAGATGAGGACAGTCCAGAGGCATCCGTACTCGAAGAAGGTCATTATCACCATCATCATCGTCATAATTAAAGGTTTTGACTTAACGT